TTCATTTGGAGTAGCGATGAGGTTGGGGAAGTGGAACTCGAGCCGGACATGTTGGAGAGGGAAGTGTTGTTTGAGAGGGTGGGGAGGGTAGGGCGGTGGTGTTTCTAGTTTACAGTCTAGATGCGAGACAGAGACGACACGAGAAGATACAATGATATGATACTGATGGCTGTAAGATAATGAGATGGATGATCGACCCGAGGGGCTCTAGCAAAGTAGAAGTGGGAGTGGGGGGGGGGGGTTGGATGGAGCTGGTGGGTATATAACCCAGCTTCGGTTGGTGGATAGCTTTGGGCTCAGCAGGTCGGACGAGACGAGGGGTGCGGAAGCGGGTGCCAATTATCGACAACCCCTTCTCAGGGTGATAGATCGGAAAACCGGACGTGAACCCTGACGTAACCCTTTGAACTGATTTGTGATGGGTCCCTGACCGGTAACCCCTGTCAACCCCCGACCCTTTAGCCTATTCCCCCTGAGCCCTCATCCCCTCCCCCCCCCCATCTTTCCGGGCTCTCCCTCTGCTCTTGCCGCAACACACCGCTTCAGGTCTAGGCACAGCCAAAAATCCCCTCGATCCCCCCTTGGCTCGCTTCCCTAGGCAAACTTCGCTTGGATCTTTCATCCTGCTCAACGATCCACGGCCGAGTCCACCACCTACCACCGTTCTAGTAGTGTGTATCCCCCCTTCCTCTCCCGGCCCCTACGGTGTCTACCACTGTCCCGTTCAGGTCCACCTCGGTCACCGACACCGTCCACCTAGGTGAACCCTGGTTGACAGCCACCGTACAGTTCCCACATGCATGCATACAGACTTCGGTCCAAGAGATCTGCGCAGTGTATGAATTGAAATTCGATCAGGATCTCGTTTGAGGGGTGCGTTACCTTGATGGGCACACACGCCCTCGTTACAGCCTCCACTTCCGACACGTCGGAGCCCTCTCTGCTTTTTTGGCGTGAAATGGAGGCAGCCTTGTTTCGACCCATGAATCCGTCCCCCACCTCATTAAACCCGCGTAGTCCTGGGGCTCGTGGTGCTCAGCATAATCCTTATCTTGGCTATTGTTGCAGGCGCTAGGTGGTTTGTACCATCTGCGAGCTCCACAGGTGGGGTGCAATGGATGATCTACTCCCTATGAGATCATGAGAATTGGGACAAAAATTGTCCCGGTGCATCTGGGAGCTTCCGAGACCCAAAGGAGCGAAGAGATCTTTCCGAAGACGTGGAGCGCAGAGAGGCGTTGTTTCATTCCCAAATACGCATGCTTCCCCCTGCTGCCTGCCACCAAAGATGCATCCTTCTTGTCCCTGAACTTTGCTACGGGTACCGGCAGCACTACTTCGGGATGATTCTGATTCTCAGGGCGCCGCGCCAACCTCCGCCTTAAGACCCGCCTTGGTTCGACGACTTTAGTTAGGTACACTTATTAGCAACGAAGGCTTTTTGGGACACCTGCTATCTCGTACTTTTACGTTTCTTGGACCTTGTTAGGAGAATCCGCTTTCAAGCTTCATCCCATGTCCTCTCTGTCGGGTGTGGAAGCGGGATGCGACCGCTCGAGCAGCCTACAACTGCGGTCGAAAGCGGGGTTTGTGAGACTTGGCATCCGTCGCGGCATCCTCGCGGCATCGTCGATTCCCATCAAACGCGGCCGGCCATTATCTGGCCCGCATTCCGGTGATCGCTCAGTGTCTCATGTATCGCAAGCTGCCTGGGTACTGTCCGGAAAGATCGGTGCAGACGAGGTCTCATTTTGCTGATGAGACACGTCGCTTTTTCCCGGGTAGCATGCGCTCAAAGCGGGGCATGTGCAAAACAAGGCGGCGGGGAACAGCCAGTGTCCGGGTGGCGTGTGGGTTGGGGAATCTTTGCCAAGCGCTTCTCCTAGCTTCCGACCATATTCCGGCGATCCATTTTCAGGCATCGTTACCGATCATCTGAGGTGGACGTCGCCCATGGTCCCGTGGCATGTGAGAACCTGGCGGCTCCCCTTTCCCCATAGTGACCCTCACTGCATCAAGGGAATCGTTTGCAAAAAAAGAAGGCTCGGCAAGGAAAGGGTTTTCTTCTAACCGAATCCCTGGGCATGTATTATTCATCACAATACCAGTAAGACCACCACCGTTGCCGCAGGTCGATAATCAAATCACAAGAACCTCCCCGCGTGGCATGCCGTGCTATCCTGGTCGATCCCCTCGCAGTCCATCGGGACTCCGTCGGCTTTAATTATCCTCGTCGCTTTACGAAAATCTGGTAGGATCAGCAACGACACCTCATCGCCGGACGTGACCGCGGAGGTAAAGCACTCACCTCGAGATCACCACGCGTGGCAACCGCCAGCACCCACTTTCTCTCTTGATCAGTCACTGAGTATTAGCTGATCACACTAGCGCATTACATGAAACGACTTGCCCAGGGCAAAATCAGTCCCCGCCTTGTTGAAGAACTCCTCGAGCTCCTCCAACGGAGTGAGAGGGTGGATGACTGTGTAAGGGTGAGATGAGGAGCCGACCTTGAACCGGGTCGTGTGTTTGTCTATTTGACAGACGTGATCGCGGACGGAGCGCATGGTTCGGACACATCATCCGTGCCAGAAGGACAGCACATCGGTCGCGCGTCGGAAGACATGGTCGGCAAAGATTGAGCCCAATGATGTATGATCATTTAGTAAACGGAGATGCCCATTCGCACAATCAGGAGGGTTGGGCGCAGTCGAGGGGAGTGTACCGGGTCAAGCGCGGGGTTGCGTAGTAATGGGTACAGGTCGTCGCGGAAGGTGCAGTGCGGGGTGAACGGCGGTCGAATGAGGCGGCGTCCGTAAAGACGTGAGCATAGGGCGCGATGGTCAACGGGACGGGCAGGCAAGCGCATCGATGTGATTGCGAGGAGTCGCGCAGATGTTAACGGTTGGGAGGGCGGTATGGTCGAGAGCCGAGAGCGATGGAGTTGCCGCGTGGGAGGATCATGATGGTGGAGAGGAATCAGGAGAGAGTATGCCAATGACAGATGGTCAAGGAGGATATTCGTGCAGGAGATGAGACTGCATCAGCGCTGCGGGGTATCGGCGGTCGTCATGGACCCACCTAACCGGTCCTCCATGCCTGCTGCGCCCTTTTCAAACTTGCTCTTGATTGCCTTGACATCCAAGTAGCCTATCGGTTTTCGCTTGTCGTTCAGCACGCTATTCGTCAGCACATCCCACAGTGAGTGCGAGAGTGCATAGAAGATAGATGGGGAAGCTCTCGCATACTCCACGAGTTGAGGAAAGCGAAAGGTTTTGATGGACATACGGTAATTGATCGAACTCTCTCTCGTAAGCCGCCTCCAAAGCCAGGCTCAGAGGCGCATCCTCAGGCAAACAGAACGCTGGCGGGAGCTGTAGATCCTATAGGTTGTCAGCACGCCTGGATGCGTCGGGATCTTAAAGGCGGATGATCCCGATGAAGGCAGATTATCTCTCACCTCGACGACTGCACCTCGGTATTTGGCTCCGGGAGGTTGGTTTGGGGTAGGCGTGGTCTCCTTGTCCATCATTCCTTCTTTACAACTCGGTTGACAGCCTTTAAGAGTCGATGTGTTGGATGAGTAAACGAGGTGAAATTCGGCGAGAATCATCAAACGAAGTGTTTTCATGATCGAATTCTTGCGTCACGCGTGGCTTCTCAGACTTAATCCGACCCTAGGGTACACCCGGTTTTTTCTCCTTGGCCTCAGCTCCAGTCTACCTTGCGCATGACTCCTCTTTGTTTCCCGGGTGGCTAAGTGAACCTCGCGTAGTACAATAGTGGCTATCCATGGAGAACCGCAGCTGTTATGACCTGCAGAGGAAGGGGAACGCCTTCTAGTCCGCCTCGTGGGGATTGTGGCACTCTGCTTATGCTGTAGAATATCCTTGGCGTCGCTGTGGGCTTAGACTGGTATTTCTAACTCAGGCCGGACACCTATACGGTACAGTTAGGGTGCTCCATTGTCCCACGTCTTCGACCAGAGTGAGCTTGCTTGATGCGTCTGAAGGAGGAATGCATCGCTCGGGCCGCGGCAAACAGCTCACATTGAGCTCAGTCTCTTCACCCTCGGTAGGATCATGTTGATGACACAAGTCATCTGAGACATGCCGAAGTCGATCAGAGGGAGACCTGTATTTTGCTGCATATCCACCATTTGCTCGCCGGCGCGACCCACGGATGCGCTTCCCGAAGCGTCTCGCCGCTGATCAGAGCAGGCTTCGTCAAGCAACGCCGGACACGACGGCACTTCCTCACGAGCCGTCAACATCATTCACAAGGAAGAACAAGGACTGGTCTAGGAAATTGATACGCTACATGGATGCCTCGTCGCTAGCCCGGGGGTAAGACAATCTGGAGTTAGCTTTTGCACAATCTGGCGGCGATTGGTAAAGCCCCTGTGAGACGAGGCTGACCTAGGCAAGTGACAAGTGAGCATATGCTCTGCCGCAGCGTAGCCTCCCCGCCGACACTCATTTGCGGACCCCAAAAGCCGAAACTGTGAGCCACTACCCATTTGACCAGAGCCCACTTGAGCTCCGCGCGGAAGGGAAAGCTTGACTTTGTTTGTCAAAGCTCCCCTTTCAAAGCCTGTCCTTGGTCCTGGTTCTCTTCACCGTTCAACTAGCAGCCTGCGACCATTATGCAGAAGCTGAGACACGAGAGGGTGCGGGTGGCTGATGCATGTTTCTCGGTCATTGAGGCCTGCCCACTGTTGGCAAGTGGATCTGCGAAGAATTGTCTGAGATGCGTTTATCGCTCGATGCATATATATTGTGCGCAAAATGACCCAAACATCAAGCATCGGGTGGGTACCGAAGTGGTTACCGGGGTGGCCTCAAGCTTTCTCAGCTTGTTTCTTCTGAAATATATCCACTGTGCTAACGCGCGCGCGAGTTCGAATCTCGTCCCACCCAATAGCTTTTTTTGGCATTTTTCTCCTGAATCTCTCTCCTGCAACGCTACACTCGCTCCTCTCGCTTTGAAACCCTTCATGCGGGTGGGTACCGAAGTGGTTACCGGGGTGGCCTCAAGCTTTTCTTTGCTTGTTTCTCTTGAAATATATCCACTGTGCTAACGCGCGCGCGAGTTCGAATCTCGTCCCACCCAACCATTTTTGCTTACTGCAACTTCTTCCCTTCCGTTACAGCCAGAGTGACCTTCTAATATCACGAAGACATGCATGTCAGTGTCGCTGACGGCTACAAGGAGGTGGATACAATTGTCAGCTCCGTGCTCGCGTGAAAGAGGCGGCACCCTCGATGTGCTGCCGACATGGGACATACTGCCCCAGAACATGGGGGCTACTGCTGTTATGCTCATTCTGCGCTTATCCTCATTCTGCGCCAACCCCCTCCGACATCTGGGAGTGGTCACCCGCATGCGGAGTGAACCGGAGTGTAAGAAGTATAGCAGCCCGCCAGAACACAAGACGCAGATAGCAGGATGCCATACTGATACGAGTAGCTTTGTGAACCCCGGCTCGCGACTTGCCACACCCGGGTAAATGTCTTGACCGGATACCCGACTCTGGGCATTCGAAGCGTCCGACGACTCGTCTTGCTACCTACATCCTGGTGTCAAGGTTGATCCATTCTTCCATCGCGCATGACCCATATACTACAATGATACCAGCTTCGGTGTCACAGGTGATGGCAGAGAGGCGAAGACAGGCCCTGCTCCTGGTCGTCATCTCCATGGTCATCGCGCGATCAGCGCCATTTCACGCAAAGGGTCTCGACGTCATCTCGCTCAAAGCATGGAGGGAAGCACGGAGGGCCAAGAAAGAGGAGAGACGCAGGAGGGATATGGAGACCCCTCTGTATGCCTAGTCGATATGCTGGCCGAGCATGACTGATGTGCAGCAACACGCCAGCATTGGAGAAGAAGATGGTTGATCTGGTATGGCGCGGGATGTCATGACGGTGTGCTCATCTACAGTACATACCTCACCCAGGGGGCTCGCGGACGTTGCTTGTCCCTCACAAGGGGAGGCTATCAAAGGTGTATATCACACCCACAAGCCAAGAGGTCTACAGGAATCACCTAAGGCTGTTTCCGCCTTTGAAGCCCGGCGAGAAACTCGGAGTGAACAGGAGATTCTGGAAGATGCTCGTCGCGGTCCTGCGGGTCGCATTTCCCAGGTGGGTTGGTCATCCAGTCTGCGAAGCATGTGAAGCTCTCATACGGACCGACTTGAACGCTGAATCGACAGCAAGACAGGGAAAGAGGCGTTCCTGCTGATTCTACACACCTTCTTCCTCTTCGCCCGAACGGTACTGAGTGTAATGGTCGCAAGACTTGACGGACGGATTGTGCGAGACCTCGTACGTGTGCGCGTCTCACGCGACAGATGATCAACTCACGATAAGGTGTCTGCCAACGGCAAAGGTTTCCTCCAAGGTCTGGGGTGGTGGTTCGCCCTGGCTATTCCAAGTACTTACACAAACTCGATGATTCGGTTCCTTGAACGGAAGCTTGCTTTGGCGTTCAGGACCAACCTTACGCGATACATCCACGACTTGTACCTGTGCGTTGACCAAATTCACCGCGGGAAGACTCTGATGGACAGAAACGACAAGCTCAACTACTACAAGTTTGGACTTGGTCTGGGCGCGGTTTCCGGCCCAATCTCCGTGGACCAGGGCAAGAAGAGGAAGATTGAGATGGGGGCTGCCGAAGCCGCAGCGGGAACCGCTGACCAGTGAGATCTCAATGGCGTCAATGGACAGCACACTGACAAGAGATTCATAACCACGGATCTAGCACGATTCTGCGACAGTCTCGCTGCACTGTAGTATGCCCTACCCTCCAAGACTGTTTCACAGCTGACAGTCCAGCGGAAATATTGGAAAACCTGCCTTGGACCTAGTCATCTTCACGTCGCAGCTGGCCGCAGCCCTTGGACCCCTTGGTACCATCGGACTCTTCGCCAACTACGGCTTCACTGCCTGGATCTTGCGTAAAGCTACCCCTGCATTCGGTCGCATGGCTGCCACAGAGGCACGACTTGAAGGAGAGTACCGTGCTGGGCTCTCCCGGATCGGCAGAGACGGTGAAGAGGTGGCGTAAGTACAGACTCTTTGAGGTTTCCGCACCACGCCTTGTCGCTGACGGTCAGCTTCTACAACGGAGGAGCTCGAGAGAAGAGCATTCTATGGGGAGCTTACGAGGCGCTGGCCAAACATGTCCACACCGTGTTCAAGATCCGCATACCTTATGGGTCAGTCCTGTTGCATGTAGAGCCAAGCGTGTCTGATGGGCAGCATGACTGAAGACTTCGTCATCAAATACTTCTGGTCAGCTTGCGGCTACAGTCTCATGTCGATCCCAATCCTCTTCCCAGCAGCCAAAGACGCCCTCAAAGCGGTACAAGGGCAAAGCCATCAAGTGGCTCACCGCACCGAGAGCTACATGTCCAATAGACGTCTCTTATTGTCCCTTGCGGATGCGGGTGGACGACTCATGTACTCGGGCAAAGACCTCGCGGAGTTGTCTGGCTACACGAGTCGAGTCTACTCTCTCCTAGCTTCGCTGCACGCCCTTGACAACGACATGTATCCGAAGCACCCTCGCCCGGCATCCCTCCCGGACTCCCAGGTAAAGCAGGAGGGTACCTTATGTTACCTTCGCTAACATCCAGCGCTTCTACGGGATGGCCGATGTCCACGGAAGGGTCATCATTGGACCAGACCACGTCTTGCTCAAAGGCGTGCCGATTGTCGCGCCTGCCGGTGGGGCAGCCGGAGCCGAACGAGGTGGTGAAGAGCTTCTCAGATCTCTTGATCTCCGAGTGGAGAAAGGAGAGCACACCCTCATCACGGGACCCAAGTGAGCCAGCAACATCCTCCACGTCGCTCATTATTTTGCTCATGTTCAGTGGCGTGGGTAAGACATCTATCGCGAGGATTGTCGCCCAATTGTGGCCTACATGGTCCGGGACCCTGGAGCGACCTGTGCACGGAGAAATGGGCATTTTCTTCCTGCCCCAGCGGCCGTACCTCAGCATTGGCAGCCTGCGTGACCAGTGAGTCTCTCTCCGATTTCTGAACGTAAGAGCTGACCATGGCAGAGTTATCTAGTACGTGACAGGGCCGGATGATGACAGGTATCATGCTGATACCAGCCCTCACACATACGCTGAGATGAAAGCTCGTGGCAGGACGGATAGTGAACTGCTTGAAATTTTGAAGCATGTACATCTCGCTTTCCTGCCGACTCGGGAAGGAGGGTGGGAAACGCGAAAAGAGTGGAAAGACGTATTGTCGTGAGTCCAGCTCTCCAGTATGAAGAGTTGTATACTCACCGTGACAGAGGAGGAGAGAAGCAGAGAGTGAGTTCAGACGATGTTCTGAGCGTAGTTGCCTGCTAATCTATCAGATGGGAATGGCAAGGCTCTTGTAAGACTTCCTCCATCTGGGCACTTCAAGATATTAATGCCAGCTACCATCGACCTCACTATGCTTTCCTGGACGAGTGCACATCGGCAGTTTCTTCCGACGTAGAAGGTCTGATGTACGAGCACGCGAAATCTCTGGGTATAACCTTGATCACCATCTCGTACGCCCCGCAGATCTTGCACGTCTTCACAACCGCGCTGATGTCGTAGTCACCGACCTTCGTTGCTCAAATACCACAAACGCCACCTTCGACTTGGTGATGCTGCGACAGCCGTGCCGACCTCGCCATTGGCACCAACCTCCCCGCTGGCGCGCACCAATGACTCATTCACCTCGATCCCTCGTGTACCCTCTCGGCTCGCCTTGCAAGGCTGGCAACTGACCACGTTGACCAGCACGACTCACGAAGAGCAGCTCGAGACTGATATGGAGATTGAAAAGCTCGAGCATATCCTGGGGCAAGATGTGGGCGAGTGGGAGAAGAGGCTGGCCGAGGTCAACCTCGAGCTTGGTGGAAAGGTCCAAAAGAAGGTTGAGGCTTGAGGGAACTCGGGAGAGGATCGTTTGTACTGTCTCTTTTGCCAAATGATATACCCTTCGCCCGATAGTTGTTGGTTTCGATGTATGCATACGGCGGGCGATATAAAAAAACATGCGTAAACTCAAGACAACATTCTCCACTGCGTGTTTCATCACTAATCCACATCTTCGAATCTGCCATCCTCCCGCCGCAGAGTCTCCTTCAATCCCGCTTGTAGCCGCTGGAAGCGAACCTCGATATCGCCGAGGACTCGCTGCAGTTCTCTCGCCTCCTCGGCCGGGCTTCGTGCGCTCTCCTGCTGCTGCCTCAAGATAGCACGAACCGCATCCTCCATCTCGTTTCCATATCCCAGCCGTCCCGCGCGGCGCGCCTTGATCCCCTCTTTTGTCGACTTGAATGCGAAGTACGTGTACACATTACTCAGTACCAACACACCAATCAACGCGGCCAGGATGGTTTGTTTGCTTAGCGGCGTGTCCGAGACGATGTCTGCGACCGCATCAAGGACGGCCTTGACACCAGAGCCGATCAGTTTCGCGCCGGACACGACGCTGTCGACGCCGCCCTGAATCGACCAGAAATCTCGTTCTTGCCTCTCTTTGCGTTGCTGAGCAGCATACGCGGCGGCTTCCGTCGGAGCGCGTTCGGCCTTGGTTTCCGCCTCCGCCGCCTCTTCCTCTGTTTCCACGCTGGCATCTCCTGCGTATTCCACAGAGTGCTCCTTCATATGCGCCTTCATCCCCTTCTCGAGATCGTTGTGGTATGTCTTCTGACCTTCTATAGCGGACTTCTCGATAATGCCTGAGACGTGTCAGCTCGATTTCCTCAGCCCCAACCAACATACCTTTCACCCACGACTTCCCGGTCCATTCAACAGCGGTCGTCACCAGCACTCGAGTGGAGTTTGGTCCAGCCCAGGTTATGCAAGAACGGGTCTTGACGCTGAAGACTCCTCCGCTGGGGACGTCGGGCGTCTTCGTAGTCGTGAGCATAGAAATGTAATCGTCGACATCGCGGTGTTGATGTTCGTCTACTATGTGGCATTTGGTCTGCTTCGGTCCGATAGAGCCGTTGAGGGGCTTGATGTATGATATGGATCGTGCCAGGTTATTCGTCTCAGCGGCAGGCCGCCAGTCCGACATCTCGACGTCTACCTGGTCAGCTGAGAG